CCTTGGCCAATCAGCAACTGCCCGAATCTTCTGGGGATCTACAGAAATACCTTCTCCGCTTACCACATGCCCAGAAAAGAAATACTCTTCAGCCAGAATTCACACTTGGAGAACTTGGCATACAGCTGATGCCGCCTCAAAGTCTCTAACACAATCCTCAAATGTCTGGCATGATCATCCTCAGATGCAGAATATACCAGAATATCGTCAATGAAGACGATCACAAACTGATCCAGATACTCCCTGAATACTCGGTTCATCAGATCCATGAAAATAGCAGGCGCGTTGGTTACCCCAAAAGGCATAACCAAAAACTCATAGTGCCCGTACCGAGTACTAAAAGCTGTCTTCACCACATCAGCTTCCTTCACCTTCACCTGATAATATCCGGATCGCAAATCAATCTTCGAAAATACTGAAGATCCGGAAAGCTGATCAAACAAGTCGTCAATCCGAGGCAAAGGATACTTGTTCTTGATCGTGACCTTGTTCAAATCTCTGTAATCGATACACATACGGAGTGTACCGTCCTTCTTCTTCACAAACAGAACAGGTGCTCCCCAGGGCGAAACACTAGGGCGCACAAAACCTCTATCAACCAACTCCTGAAGCTGAACTTTCAACTCAGAAAGTTCTTTCGGTGCCATCCTGTACGGAGCTTTCGATATCGGAGCGGTACCAGGAAAAATATCGATAGAGAACTCCACATCTCTATCCGGAGGTAAACCAACCAGCTCCTCAGGAAAAATATCAGCAAACTCCCGTACCACAGGGATCTCAGAAACAGAACCAACCTCTAGGTTCAAATCCCGCACCGAAGCCAAAAACACTGGGCATCCCTTCTTCCACATCCTGTTCACTTCCAATACAGAAATCAGACTGGAGAGAACACCTCGTAATCCCTGAAATACAACTCTTTCTCCAGCCATAAGCAAACTCACTTGCTTCTTCAGACAGTCTATCTGGGCTTCATACTGACTCAACCAATCCATGCCCAGAATTACATCATACGATGAAATCGGCAACCGAATCAAACTTGATTTCCACTTCTTGCCAGCAATCTCGATCTCACACAAACAAAATTGCCGAGCAATCAAAGGATTCCCAGCCGGTAAAATCACAGACAAAGAAACCGGAAGTAAAAGAGAATCCAAACGTAAAGCCTCAAAACAGTGCTCGGACAGAAAAGAATGACTCGCTCCAGAGTCAAACAAAACACGACAGGGCTGATCAGAAATGTAAATCGTACCTGTCACAACATCGGGAGCATCTCGAGCCTCCTGCTGACTCAAGCTGTAAACTCGTGGCTGAACTGGAACAGGAGCTGAAGCAACGGAACTACTCTGCTCCCTCTGAACAGTAGGTGGTCTCCGTGGTGCAGAACTAGAACCACCACCTCTTCCAGCAAATCCCTCAGGGCGAGGAGGAACAGTCCTCGGTCTTCCTGCTGAACCGGCAGGTCTGACAAAGCCCTCAGATCGCTGATCAAATCCCATCTGCGGACACTCTGCAATCCGATGTCCTGACTGACCACATCGGAAGCACAGACCAGCCATCCTATAACATTGGCCGAAGTGTCGCCGTCCACAGTTTTGGCACACAGGTGCCGAACTGACTGATCCCGAACTCGTCGTACTGGTAACAGTACCAGACGATCCTCCGCTCCTTCTGGAATCTCCAGATCCAGAACCGGAAACAAATCTCCTCTTTCCGGAGGAACCACTGCCAGATGCCTCGCCTCCAAACCTCTTCCTACTCGCAGTCCACCGCTGCTGAGTAGCCATCAAGTCGTTCTCTATCAATCGAGCTCGCTCCACAAGCTCGGAGAAATCAGTAATCCGGAATGGTATCAGGGGCTGCCTCAAGGTATCTCGCAATCCCCTCAGAAATCTGTAACATCTCTCAGCAGAAGTGCTAACCAGCTGCGGAGCGTACCTGGCTAATGCAGTAAACTCAGCCTCGTACTGCATCACCGTCTTGCTCCCCTGAACAAGCCTCAGAAAGTTCTCCTGCATCTGCTGTCGTGCAGAAGGGGGAACAAACCAATCTCGGAATACCTCAGTGAACTCTTCCCAAGTAATCAAAGAGTTCAGTCTGCCCTGAAATCTGGCTGCCTGCTGGCCGTCCCACCAGTGCTCAGCCTCTCCGTCTAACAGAAAAACTGCTAACGGTACCTTCCTGTCTGACGGACACTGCATCCCGTCAAAGGTCTTCTCCACTCTCCTCAGCCACTCTTCAGCAGCTCTGGGCTCAACAGCGCCCTCAAACCTCGGAGGTTTCAACCTCAAAAACAACTGCAAATGTCTATCCAGGTCATCAGATCTGACAGTAGAAGCTCTACTCTGAGTCTCGCTCATCATCTGAGCAACCAGCGAAGCAAACTGAGAAAGCGTATCAGCACCGACCACTGGGGCTGTACTCCCCACTGGTGCTGCCTGATCGGCACTCTGACCATCTGTCATGTCTGGGTCTGGCTGATCCATACAGAAAAATCCAGAAAATCCGGAAAAACTATCACAAAAACAACAAAAATAAAAAGCCAAACAAATCAAAATTACCCCCCAGACAGACTTACTGATCACTTCCTATAGCTCTGTTTCACAAAATTCTCAAATTCCAAAACCATTGCTCTGATACCAAAAAAAAAGCTTGTCACGACCCGACCCGAGACGAGACGGATCCCGCCCGCGCTGGATCGCGACGGAGCTGCACTAACCAGGATCTAGCTTTGGAATTTGGTTCGGAACTGAATCTTCCAAATAATTAATTCACACAGACAACAAACACAGAGCTACTATGTATCATCAAATGCAGCGGAACAAAACATCTATCCAATTTCATTTCCTCAAAACAATCATCTACAGAACAGTACATGGCTTTCGACAGAAAGAAAGACAGAACAGAAAAGCCATGACTGTACAAAAACCAAAAGTACAAAAGTACCTATACTGATCAGACTCTGAACTAATCCTGGACTTCCTTGCCTTTCCCAGAACCTGAAAACCACCAGAAAGCAAGGGTGAGCTCAACAGCTCAGTAAAGCAACAAACCTCCAATCAAAATCCTCAGAATCTCAAAACCAACACAGCAGACAAATCCGTACAGAATCGAAACAGATTCGGACAGATATCAAATCAACAAAACTGTACGGAAACGGAAGTTGTATCAAATCAGAAACATAACAGATCAGACACATCAGATCAACAGAATCAGAATCGTACAGATCATATCGGAACAGAACAAATCATATCAGAATCATATAGCAGATATCAGATATTTAATTAATAGCTAAATTCCCTGACACTGACTGAATCTCATAGGATCCAGGCCACTTATGCCTCCCTTTGTGCTCACGGCACCAAAACAGATCAGATCAGATGTGCTTATAGCACCAGAATACATATATAGTGCATATAGCACCTAAACAGATTGTTTCCTCGGATCCGGAACAGAACAGATATCAGATTTCATATTGAGCTCATTTCAGAATTCCCAGACACTAACTGAATCTCATAGGATCCAGGCCCCTTATAACTCCCTTTATATAGCATATACAGATAGCATATCAATTCAGAAGATTTCCGGACAAAACAGAAATTACTCAAAAATCGGGCAGCACAACGGCAGTATACAGAATTTACACAATTTTCCTGAAAATCAAAATTCACCAAATTCGCACAGAATATAGATATCAACATTTTAGAACATTTATTCTACTGCACAGATAATTTCCAAGTTCACAGAAAAATCCAGTCGACTAAAAACACAGTCGAATCAAAAATACCCGGACAAAAATCTAAAAAAAATAACCAAAATGTGCACACTCGGCACTTCAACAAAATACAGAAAGTTACGCGGTAGAAACTAAACCAGTCGGAAATTACGGACGAAAATCGCGAACAAAACTTAATTCCGGACAGATAATACCGCCAAACTCGACGGTTCTGAAAATTGAGAAAGTCGGATTGTGCCTTACTTTGCGTACAGCAATTTCCTCAACAGTCTCTTCGGACGAAAACAGCTCGGCGTCGCCCGAAAATCCACTTTTCCACTTTTTCCTTCGTTTTTCTCTCTCCTCAACTTTTTCTCTCTCTTCAAAATATCTCATTTCTATATATATCCAAACTGATCGTCCTGGACGATCGAGCTTCGTACCGGACGATCCATGAAGAGAATGATTTCGTCCAGACGAAAATTGAACATCGTCCCTGGCGAAGGGTTCTATATATATATATATATATATATATATACATGCATATACAGGAACATGCATGTGTGTATATATGTATATGTATATACACATGCATGTATATGTATATGTATAGTTAATGGGAAATAAAAGGAAAATATCAATTTCAAAGGTAGTATGGACAGCAATTGTGCTAATAGACTTGAAAAATATAGAGAACTTGTAATAGTCAAGTTAAATGAATTCAGGAAGATTCATGAAAGTGATCTGATTTGTTGGGATAAGACTAATGCGTGCACGTGTGCGAGTGCATGCACACACGTGTATTCATTTTCTGTTCTATTATTAGTAAGCTGTGTCAAATACAAATTTGATCTAATTCATGTTCAATCATTGTTGTACCTAATACGACCTTCATTAGTTTGGGTAGGGCAAACTCAACGTGATTGAGTAAAAAATGGGTGTGAACTCTATGTGAAAGAAACACCTGATACGATGAATTAGTTTCAATTTATGCCCCAAATGTCCACATCAAATTGCCAACATACCTTTCACTCAATCGGAAAGGGATCTTTATCCATTTAATAGTTGTATTTCAAAGTGTTATGCAAATTCCTTGGACTAGGTGATAGATGATCTTTTGTGATACTGTAGCTATATTATTGTTGGGTTTTTTGTTATTGCTAACTTTGGTGTCAATAGTTAGGCAATCTCTATATTGTACTTGAAGTCATGATTTTTGAGTTTGTTGATTATTGCACTTGATGGGAAATTCCTATTCTTTTCTATATTTTCCTTTGTGAAAATTAGGATTTGCTTATTTGTTTTGTCTCTTTTGCAGTCATCAAAGGTAGCAGATATGTATAATAAAACTATGCCTAGAGAATTACTGATAAACTCGGAACTTGAAGATGAGTTGGATATGAGAAAGATACTCAAAGATATTGAACGCTTGGGTAAGATTTCATGTTGTTTTCCTAAAATAATTTATTTATCTTTTTTTTTTTGCATTATGAGCTTTTGAGAAATTTGTGGCACTATTCTAATGTACCTAGCTCAATTATATTAGTTGATCACTTCCCATGCCTTTTATCCTCACTTGCGTATTTTGGGTTGTTCTAGTTGGGTAGATTTAGTAATCAAACTCCCATCATGATGGAACAAGTTATAATAGCCCAAACTCTCCTTCATCAAGATATTGTTCACTTTTGGCTTAACATTCTGATGAGGACATCGACAGATGCTTCCGACATGTTTATCGACGAAGGAATCCCAGATCTACGGCCACGATTCAGCGCCTTTACTTTTGATTCAGATTTCATGATGTGTTATTTAGTTATTTGTTGTTTTCCATTTTTACCCCTTTGGGGAGTTGTTTTGTTATTGTAGCCCAGAGGGCAATTTCGTACTTTTTCTTTTCATGAGTGGATACCTATATATAGAGGTCTCATATGTTGTAAATTTTTTTTTAATGATTGATTAGTGAAATTTTCTTTGTTTCTTCTTCTTCTTGCATGAGAGCTAGAGAGAAGGGAGAGTGAGCTCAAGGTGAGCAAGTGCAAGGCCCACCAGTCATTGGAAGAGTCCACGGCTCGTGGTTAGTTTACGGTCATCTTCTTGTGTGCTCCTTCATCTTCCTTTCCCCAAGTCAATCGCCGGCCCCTTCCAAGCCCCCCCACCACCGGTGGCTCAACCTCCTCCACCCACTTCATCCTCTAGCTCCACCACTCAAACTACACCCACCAACCAAACCCCCAACCCGCCCCATTCTCCTTGCCGCTGCCTCTCTTCCCTCATAATTCCCCTTCATGATGATGATTTCAATCATCATGATGATTTCCTAATTTAGCTAAGCATGCGAGGGAAAATCTGATGCAATTTGAAATTCAAAAATTTTGAATTTCAAAATATTTCCATTTTGGAATTCCTATTTAGGAAAGTATTATTCATGACTCCAATCTAAATTCAAAATAGATTGGATCTTTTATTAACTTCCTAATTCACAATTCTTCTTTGGAAACTCCCTAAAATTCTCCCCCAATCCTCTCCGTCTCTCTCAATGCCGCCGGCCCCCTCTTGATGGGCTCCCATTAAATGCCCATTAATTCCCCTAAACCCTATTTGAAATTTGAAATCAATTTCAAATTGATTCCCTCCAAAATTACTCAAAATATGAAATTAATTTCAGATTTGGAGTAAATTTCATTCTCCTCCATATAACCTAAACCCTTTCTCCCACACCACCCGCCCCCTCTCTCTCTACCTTTGCTGCCCCTCTCTTGCTCCCTCCCTTGGGAAGTTTTGGTTGCTCATAATACTTGAAACCAAGAGAAGAAGACGACGCCCTCTCCCCTTCTCTTCAATGATGCATGGCCGATCCCGAGATCGACCTCGGATTCGTATTTGACGAAGAGGGAAGAACGAATATCCTTGGGTCCCCGTACTTTGACATTTTCTTTGGCAACGATGAAACCGTTGAAGGGTACATCGACCGCATCTCGTACCAATTGACGTTGGCAATCGAAGAGCACCATCCACCAAGTCGTTGGATCATCGTCGGCCACCCACCACCTCCCCCACCACCGGCTACAGCTCCATCAATGAAGGTCTTCGGCGCCGTCTTCCTAGTGGTAATATCTTTTTTCGTATGGTTCATCTTTCTCCGCTAATGCCTACGAGTGATTGAGTGAGAAGGTCCTCAAGGTGAACCTCTCGTTGTTAAACGTTGGATTATGTTATGTGTACTTAGCATTTACTATTGCCTTGAACTTTGATGAAATTGTTTGGTTAATCACTATTGCACTTCTTTGGCATAAGCAAGTTGATTACTTTAGATTCATAATCTTCTTTTATGTGCTAGTAGTAAATTTTCATGAGCAAAGCTTTATTCAATTGTCTTTCTAATTTCCAAGGCAACTCCTAGTAGTTTCACATCACATGCCTCATACTGTTATTATCCTTTTTGTGGAACTTATCAGGAGTCATCCATTTGAGGAGCATTCCTGCCTGAGCACACTTAACGTTGGCCTAATATGAAAACACTTAACATCTAGATTTGTTTCATTTGGCCTAAAATGCCTTATAATGTTGTCCTTTTTTTACACTTATTAGGAATCTCCCATCCTAGGAGTGTTCCTGCACTTAATGTTGGAGTTCTCGATTGAACATACTTAATGTTGGAGTTCTTGATGAATCTCCAACTGTTATAGTTATAATCACCTCAATAATTAAGAGATTTATTTCATTATACTTAAGTTGTCTTACATTCTTCCTTATTTTAGTTATTGACATTCTAATTAGTGATTTTATACATAGACTTAAATCATCTACCTGTCGAATTGGACTCAAGAGGTGAACTTATAGGTTTAAGAGTAGAGGTGTCAATTTCGGGTCACGGGTCAGGCTTGGGTCGAACTCGGAACTGACCTAGTACTATTCGGGTCAACCCGAACTCGACCCGTTTTTGCATACCGGTCGGTTTTGAGGACCCGAACCGACCCGCTTCGGGTTCGACAGCGGCATGCGGATCGCGGGCACCGCGACAACGGCTCAAACGCGGGTCCGCAATGACTGCGACAACGGATCAAACGCTGCGGACTCAAACGGCTCAAACGCGGGCAGACTCGCGCCTCTCGGGACTCGGGCAGCTGGATCGCGGGCACTGCAGCTTTGGGAAGACCACAAGCACAACTACGGGCCTGCGGCGCTGCGCTAGTCGTGAGCGACAAGTCGGTGATGTGACGCGTCCTCACGTGTGGCACTGTGGTAGTGGCTCGATGCACGCAGGCAGAATGATGCGGGCAGATCGGGCAGCCGGATCATTCCGGGTTGTTTCCGGGTTCTCGGGTCAACCCGAACCCGACCCGTTTTTTGAAACTGGTCGAAAATCTCAGCCCGAACCTTACTCAGTTCGGGTTCGGGTCAACCCAAACCCGAAATTTTTGGGTCGGGTTCGGGTTGGGTTTTCGGGTCAAGTCAAATATTGACACTCCTATTTAAGAGATGTCTTTCACCACATATCATTGTCCCAAGTGTGTTTAAGAGATGTCTTCCATGGTTTAAAACTTTGTTTTGCATGATATTTAGCTTCCATCTTCTACTAGGTGTATTATTCTGATACTCTCTTGATTTATACTTGTCATTGTTGCAAAAGGGTCTACTAATCTTTCTATGGTTCCAATTCTAACTAATATATATGAAGAGCCTTTTGATAATGATCATATGACCCCTTATTTGTAATTAAGTAAAATACTTAAGCATTAAGTCACCTTTTTGTTGGACTTTTGTCAAGAACTTCAAATTTAAGTAAGCTCTTGTTGGAGTAGTCTTAAGATTGGTTCTCTCTTAGGAAGTTGCACTAAGGGGATAAAATTGCATGTCGTTTTAGGCTAAAGAAGGCAATATCTTGATGAATGAGATTTTGAGTTATTACAAATGACATTAAAGTAATACACTAGCAAAATATGAAGCTAGGTCTTGGTGTACAAAGTGTTATACTATTGGAACCATATGTTGAACTTCTTTGGGACAAAGTTCTTTATTGTGGGAGCCATCCCTTCAACATGTAGGGACCAGTTATAGATTTTTATTTATTTTGTGGATGATTTTGAGCTATGTGGAAGATCCCTGGTGAGGTCGCCAATTACTTAGGTGGAGAGATTGCTAGACTTTTTAGTGTAACTGCAGAAGTGGACAAAATAGTGTGAGGTTTGTTAGCCTAAAGAAAACAACGCTCAATGTATGAAAGTTGTGTTATTGCACAATCTGATGTCACTTGATAGGCAGGTTAGCAACTTTCTAGTTGTATGCTTATGTCCAATTATGAAAAGCTTGCTTTGTAAGATTTTGGATTAAGGAGAGGGTTTGAAAACTTTTCATGAGCTTTCAATTATATACAAATTTGGCATAATTTATAACCAATTTATTTGTAAAATGGTATCCATCTAACTATTTAAATATAAAAAATTTATAGAGTAGAATCTTATCATTTTTAAGCTTCCTGTAAAGCACGCTAGTAGTTTTAGCAGTCTAAAGATTTGGATTTGTCAAGTATTTGAGAAACATTATTAAGAACTGACTTCGGATTTATTTTTTTTGGCCCAATGGATGGAAGATCATGATCTTTCAAAAGTAATTTCCAAACGTCTATATCGATGCTTGGAATGAATAAATAAAACTTGGAATATTTAGATATATGGAGTGCTGTTTTTTTCTTTTTTCCTTAGTTAGGTCCTTTTATGATTCTTAGAGAAAACATTTATGCATATCAATCCCTTGATCTGCATAGGAAATTGACCCTTTCCGTGAGCTTTCTTGATGTAATGCAAGGACTAATGAGTAGTTTTTTCTTGAGATTGATTATGCTTATTTTAGTCAAATTTTTCTTAATCTTAAACTAATGTTTAATTAGCTCCAAGACCTAAACATCTTGTAAGCGCAAGAAGCTTGTAGTTAATTTCCACTTGTACTTGCAATAGAGCACTTCCGGTTAAGAAGATTGCTTAGGCTTAATTTTAAACTTAGATTTGATATTTAGGTTTGAATTCAAGTAATGAATGATTTTGAGAATAGAGGTAAGCTTGAATAAGATCCCTTGATTTTGTCATCCTGGGTCTACCAGCGGATCTAACCTGCGAACTTTAAAGGGCTTTGAGTTGTGAAGTTCAAGGAGCCGGATAATCAACAATGGTTATATTCTCTCATCTGTCATGAATAGATCCGGGAGAAAGCGTGTTTTGAAGATGTGCTTTTTGAGGTTGCCTTTGACTCATTTACTGACAAAAGTTTTGTAATATTAACTTAACTAATTGTAATAAAGGCATGTGACAAGATTATTTATTGTTAAAAGATTACTAAGATTTAAAATTGTAGAATTGGGTATTGAGGTGATTTTCATTCTTGAGATGAGGCGTAAACCTCAAAATTTAAAAATTGTGTAGTGGAAATAAAAGTTAAAAGTATTTTTTTTATATAATACTAAAAAATACGTTAAATGATGATATATTAATTTTTTATTAAATTATGAAGTAATAAATTGATATATATTTGAAACAAAAAAATTTTACAAGGCGTAAAGTGGTCAGTGATAAATTACATGAAATAGAATTTAAATTCTAATATTATAAGAGCAAAACAACATGAAATATAAAAAATTCCACAAAAGTATCATATAACATCAAATTTAGCTCAAAATTCATTCTTTCTCAGTTCCTTACTCATTCACATTTAATTCCAAAGAAAGCTAAAATAGTTGACAACAACTCATAAATTATTTACATTGTCATCACTATGAGGATCTTTATTTGAGTCATTATTATAACCAATTGGTCTCTTCCCTGTGTCATCCTGTGGAGTCCAATACCTCTCAATTTGCTTCTTCTTTATTTATTTCAATCATATTTCTCTTTCATAAATGTTTGTCATCAACATAAAAATGAGAGTTATACTCCAAAATTTTTAGAGGAGGTGGTGGTGGTGCACAGCTTTCAAGTGATGCCTGGCGGTGGCTACAATGGTGGTGGCTATAGCAAAGATGACGGGCTGGAGGTTGAGGCAGTTGAGAGGAAGTTACTGCAGCTTGGGGGTATAAGAAAGCATGATTTATTTGGGGCTTTTGTTTAGGATTTATATAAGTTTTAATAAAAAATATATATAAATAGGGTGAGGCTTACGCCTCACCCTAGTAAGGCAAGGCGCACCTTAAGGCGGGTCTCAACCAAGCTTAGGCGCAAGCCTCATTAAAATAGCTTGAGGCGTAAGACTCGAGGAGTTTTTCTCTGGAATTGCGCTGAGACGGGCTTCAAGGCAAGCCTCATATTGCGCAATTTTAAACAATGAAAGGTACTAAACATGTTTGATATGCTTAGAGGCATAGTATGATCACCAATTTTTAACGAGCTTCCATTTGATTCAGAAAAGTGTGTAGAAGTTACATGAGGTTTAAGTAGTATGTTTTGATTGAATGATTAACTTGAAAGCTGGCCCATGGTTAATTGATGATCCTAATCCAAATTGTTATTTGATGTTCTTATGACATTTTTATGAACTCTTAGAAAGGTCAGGATTCAAACCTGATCTCAGAGGCCTAACGGCTTTGTATTAGTTCGATTAATTCGGGCGGGGTTTACATCAGTAGGAATACCCACATGTAGTTTTGATAGGCTTGTTGAGTTTGCATTGACCCAGCCAACTAGATTGGAGCATATATCCTTGGGATGGTCCATGAATGGGACTCACCACTTAGGGAACGAGAAAACCCATAATTGAAACTTATAAGTTTGAAAGCAGAGAAGGCCCTCAAGTGAGACTAGTAACTTTAAGGACGAGGAAAGCCTATTAATATGTCACTTAGATTGTTGATTTATGTTTAATATTTAGAATTGATTGATTTGAAATTTGAGGCTTGTTGCTCTATTTAAGAACTGTCCATGAGGCCGGGCCTTACAATCCAGGCTTTAAGAATACTGACATGTGTTACTTATGACTGAGATATTGGAGTCGGCCTCATGATGGGCCTTACAACCTTGCTGGCCAGTGTTCTCTCTTGCAATTTTATGAATCAAGGTGAGCTTGTTTAGTCATAATTAATTGACCTAATTATCATGTAATTGGAATTGTCAATCCGGATTCATGTGTTGAATTTTAATTGTTAGAGAGTAGATCGAGGATTTCAAAGGCTATCTGAATCTTTTATGGTGGTTGTTTTTTTACCGAACCTAAAGTCTTCGCGGGTTTCCTAATTAAGTGTAAGTTGTGATATTTTAGTTATTTTCTGTACCACAAATCATCTTCAGTTTGTTGAATGCCCATAATAGGAAAGTTGGCAGTTGCAGTTTCCACGGCTTGAAGGAAGCTCAGTGGCTAGGGAGCCGTGAATAGAAAAGTTGGCATGTGCAACTTTCTTGTGACCTGAAGGAAGACAAGTGGCTAGGGCTTGTTTGAATTTATTGTCTTTGTTATTTAAACTAAATGTCCCAACCAGATTTAAACTGATTTTCACACCAATTCAGATGCCAAGTACCTATCTATTCTATGCGTTTTATATTAATTGAGGTTGGCTGAACTTCATCTCCATAAACTAATATTTTAATTCATACTCACTTCAAATTTATTTTATTTATTATTGTGGATACTGATATGAAGTGGTGAAAATAGAATTATTATGGTTGGAAAACTACTGTGGAGAATCAGGACTAATTTCAAATTTTCGTTCTTTTTCATTGTTAAGCTAATAATATTAAATTATTTTATTGTGTAGTAAGAGAATAATTTTTGAAATTGGCACTATTGTAGTTGGTAGTAATTTCATAGAGAATAATGCTAAACTTTTGTGGATGTACTTTATCAAATTAGATAAAGTTGGACCAATTGGAACAAATTAGATAATCGACGAGCACTAACTCACGTAGGCGAAGTCGAAGAGCATTATGGCAGCTAAAGTTCGAAGTGCCATGTAGGTGAAGTCGAGTAGCATGAAGGAAATTAGAAATAAATATATTAGGTTTAGGTTTTTATTTTTTATATTAGCTTTTTAAGAGACTAACGTCTCGTTGAAGTGAAGCGAGGGGCGTGCCTCTGCATATTTGAGGCATACACATTGTGTATCACGTTCAACGCGTTCTCCTTGACACATAGAAGGACCGAATTGCATTGAGGCGCGCCTCTTGTTGCGCAATTTTTAACCATGGCCACCTATCTATCTTCCATACACATTTGTTGAGCGTGATAAATTTGAATCCAACTAAAGCTCTGAAATTGATAATGTAATATCAAAACATATTTTTATATGATAACACTAAAAAATCTCATGTCACACGTGCCTGCTAATTTGGTGCTAGTCTGATTGCGATAACACCACTATATTATAGTTATGACCTAAGTTTAAATATTTCTCAATTGCTGAGTATATGAGTCGTGAGTTATAAGGCACTTTCAATAGGGTAGGAAGCCCTCCTTTTTTAGCCAGCAACCAAATAGCCCCTCAGTGCGAGTGTTTTCAGAACTTCGAATGGTGGGCTATTTCTGAAAAAATATAATCATTGGGCCAAAATATAATCATTTTATCTTCTTTAGCTGTAAATTCTCAAAAGAGCTTGATTTTATTTTAAATATGTTTTAATCATTTTTTTGCTTTCTTTTTTTCCTCTTTTTTTGTTGCCATTTTTTTCCTCTTAATTTGTGAATGTCTACAACTCTTTAAGTTTAGGCTCCTCAACCTTGACCTGGAAAGAGAGAAAGAAGTTGGAAAACAAGAATGTGGTTGCTTTGGGTGGCAAGGTAAAGTCATTTGAAGTCTCCTCTTACCATTCAAACTTAAACGCCATCTGATATCAAATTTGCTTTATTCTTCCTTGATTCAGCCAACCAAAAGTCACAGGATGCCTCTGAGTGTTGCAAAACCAATGATGAAGAACACTAAGAGGAGGGAAGAGAAAAAGATGGAGGAGGTGATAATTACCCCATCTTGATTATTTCCCATCTCAGTCTTTGTTTACTGCTTGATTGCAGATATTGTCTCTTATGTATTCAGGAAAAACTTCTTGGAGTATTCACTAACCGCAAAAGTAACAGTAAAGTTGAGAAACGCCAGCCTGAAGACAAGGTTCTTAAGGCAACTGAAGGATACTTTAGCAAGGGTGTACTAAATGTGAAGCATCTATTGGAGCCCAAGTCGGTGAAAAGGGATGAAAGCTCGAGCAAGAAGATTAGGAAGCACAAAAAAAGAAAGGGAAAGAAGAAGAGCAAAGGGAAGAGGAAGGGACGATAGCTTTTACTGCAGGTCTGTTCCATGTTTGATGATTCTTATAACCAAACTAATATTCATTGAAATAGTTTGTTTCTATATTGTTTAATTAAGCTAGCCCTAATCAGTATCTTCATTATTTTTAGTGAACTTTAGACCTTAAGGGGTTCATGAGGTTATTGAATCAAGGATGTGATGATAGGGTTATGGATTTGGATTGGTGTATTTTCACATGTGTAATTTTCATTGCTAGAAATTGAATCCAAGCCTATTTTAGCTATTACTTTAAGTCCTAGAAATTTATTCAATGTGTAACTTCCATGTTTACTGTTCAGCAGGATCTCCCTTAACCTGCTGGCAACCAACTATTTATCCATCTTTGAAAGATTTTAAAATTATGCAGCTCATTTTGGTCTGTTGGTTGAGAGCTTCGGCTATCAACAAATAGGTCTTAGGTTCGAATATTGTATATGTGATATGTGTTTGAGTTTGTCTTAATTGATCTAATTGCTAAAATAAGATTGCAAAATTCTCATTGAACCGACATGAGCATTCCCGTCTGTTGAACAAATGCTAGCACTCTTTAACAGCCCCTGCAGTTGGGATGCTTCAATCTGCAGTTTTCCTCGAGTTCTCTACCTCTCCATGTTGGCGGGGGAATTATCAAGACCCTCAAGATTTTGAGAAATTATTATGTGCGAACACCGAATGGTCTAGAGATCAATCGGAACGTGTCACGTCATCCGGTATCGAGCGGTATTGAGCAAAAAAGTGACATGACGCATTCTGGTTGGCCTCCATACATCGTCTAGGGTCCCCACATTATAAATTTTCTAAAGGTTTTTTTTTTTCCTTTTCCTTGACCTGGATAGGCATTTGTTTTTTTTTTCTTTATAAAGTTTGTAACGTTCTTGTTGCATATTTTGGTTTTGGGACAATTTGTAACTAATCATTTCTTTTGTAGCCCTCTGGTGGTTTTAGGATATTTATACTCTACTCGGTTCTCTAGCTGTTTGATTTGGTGTATTTGAAATGCAATATAAATTAAATACTCTCAATTTGGTTGTATTTACTTTAGATTTATGAAGAAAGTCAACAGAAAAGTTCATTAACCTTTATTTTATGTTCTTCAAATCAAAAGCGAAGATTTTTAGTACAACATTTGGCTTCAAATTGCTATAATTCTCCCTCCTAGCGTGTGAAGGTTTAATTATTCTGTGCGGATTACGGGTGTCGTTTGCCGGCAAATCACAACGCGTCATGTCATCTGTTTGCCGGGTACTGGTGCTCATTTACCAAGCAATGTAGTGTGCTTTGATTCGCCTTCGAACAATCTAGAAGATGGTGGTAAGCAGTTTCTCGAAAAGAAAGAGTAAGCTGTTGCAACCGCTCCTTGCATCGAACGGGGTGCTTAGCAAGTTTCCTTGTAGTGGCTTATAAATATTTGATTTTGAGTTGGCTTTTTTAAATTTAAAATTGACATGATAAAAATTTGACTAAGATTTCGTTTGGGATAGTTTTAACTTTTTAGTTTAAAAATTTTTGCATTAAAATCTGCTTCAGAAATTCTAAATCAAATAGAGTTTTCTCCAAAAAAAATAAAAAAAAAACTCTTACATTATGCTTAACATGATGGAATGCTTACTCGAATCTTATTCGTACGCTTACTATCATGTCGAAGAATGTTTGATTAAGCGTTCAAATATATTTCAAATTAGTTCGGAAAATATCGTAGTGTAATGAACTTGGTTCAAATACTACTACTTTATGAGTTCAAGATGTTATAAACTCTTTAAAATAAATCAATTGTCTTGGTCGATCTAGATGGATCGATATTGTTAAAGATTGCTCGAGTATGATTTCCTATTTTATTTGTGTTTGAATATTACAAATTCGTGGATTGTTATATATAATGTGGGTTCCGAAAATTCGTGCTCCGGTATCTTCGTGTCGCTCTTTTTATTTACGTTGACGAAGAGAGTTTTAACATATTTAGATTATGTGGTAAATTTTTAGAAGGCAGATTGGTTTTAGAGAAGTCACTATTATGGATAGAAACACTCGCTTTTGGCTTGTGGGTTGGTGACTTATGAGGGCTCAAAAGAAATTTTGCTAAAAAAACCGGTTCATTTTTTGGGCCTTAATATGTGTGTTGTACGAAGTCTTTTGATCGATACATTAGGATTTGGCAGATTTGACAAAACTGTCTAGGGGTGTAAATAAGTTAAGTTGACTTATGAGACGGCTCGAGCTCGACTTGATAAATGGCTCGCGAGCATAGTTCGATGAGTTAACGACTCAATTTTAGCTAGTTTTGACACGACTCATTAGCTCACAAGCATACTTATTTCAAAAATATTAAAATAAATATACTTGAAGTATATTAGAATTCAAAATTTTAAAAACAAAATTATTTAAATATTTAATAATTATATCTTAATTTCTTATATTAAATTATTCTTTATTATTTTTTATAATTTATTTTTTTAATATTTTATTAAATTAATAATTATTTTTTCTTTTATAATAAATGAGTTAATTCTTGAGTCTGCTCAAACTCATATAATAAAGCGCAGCCGGTGCCCTATTTCGCCCTAAAAACAAAAATAAAAACTTACGCGTTGCCCCTTTCATTCGAACGCTAGCTACGTTCTTAGCCAGGCGCCAACCTTACTCCCGCGGTCCGTTTACTGAGCCTCTCTCCGGCGTGCCCCTGCGCTCCGCCGCTTCCTGAGCCTCTCTCTCTGCGTTCACCGACTGCCTTCTCTCCACACTCACTGAGCCTCGCTCCCGCCGTCCCACATCCCACCCGCGCCTGCGATTGTCTCTAGCAACCGAGGTTTGGCTGCTCTTTCGTTTTTTCAGTTTCTTGTTTAGATTTTATTTTCAGTTTTTTTTTTAATTGGAGTCTTTCGAATTTTGATTTTGCGGCATTTTTTAAAGTCAAATTCACCTATGGATTTTTCTGTTCTTGGAAGAAATTATGTGATCTCTCACCACAATGTTTGAAGAGAATTTCAATTATCAAATTATATTTTACGTGGAACAGCAAGGCAAAGAATTCTCTTATGAGAAGCCTTTTTATATCTCAACCATCAGGTTCAAATAGCGTTATAATCAACATAGCATAGCTTGTGTGGTTTAAAATGAAATTTCTTATTAATCTTTTTTGTCTTAATTTGATTTTAATTTTTCTAGATTACCACTCTGTGCATAGAATTACTTGTGAATATTGTTTTTTTTTTTAATGGTAGACACCTTACAAAACATCAACAGTACTTGCATTATAAACTATAATAGTCTAAATTATATGCTTATGTCTTTGAGAAATTTTGTCATTTACTTTTGACTAGTTATATGAATAATATATTTTGGTCTTGATGTAAAAATGGCTAAGTGAAGGTCAGTTTTTTTCTACAAGAAAATTATTGTTACAAATAACAGTTTAATGCCATTTGGAAAACTAATCAGATAATGTCAATCATATTTATTATGCAACTGAGAGTTTCATTTAAACCTTACCATCTTGGGATTGTGAAGTTTTCCATTTTTTATTGGACAAATTTATGGAGTTGTGTATGATAATCATAAACCATCCTCTAAAGAAAGTAAAACCTTTATCCTTCTCGCCTCCACTTGTTATCATTTAGAACAACAATGCACATATTTTCCTTCCTCTCCATCAACCTTTATTTAAGAGTTGCAATCCTCAATAAACTTTCACCCTTCACTACATTATCACTTTTAAAGTAGCCGAAGCTACTAAATGTTAAGGGGTAGCTGAGTTGTTGTCCTAAAATGAGAGCAGCTGAATATTTTATAATGGAAACATTCCTTTTGAGCATGCTTATTTGATCAAAGTGGTGAAAGATGAGAGGAAGTTCTTCGTAAGAGAGTTGTCTGTCAGAAGTTAATTTCTAGGAAAATTTTAACTGTGCTCAATGTTTTAGATAGCTGAGTACTATTCCATGAACTCACATTATTGACATGCTTTGCCTGACATGAAACATAACGAGATTTAATTTTTTTCAAGTTTTGAAAATTTTTTTTTTCATTTTGCAACTCTTAATTGAACATTCCACTGTGAAACTATATTAATCAGTTCATTATGAATAATTTATTTTCAAGTAATATCAATATTGCTTAGACAAGATCAGGAAATTTGTTAAAGTATATCTTGGAATTCTTACAAGGCATCCATACTTCTAGTCAAGCACAATCACTTTACTTGCAACATTACCAATATTTTGCTTTGCAGCCTATACTTTTTGTGTACTTGTCTTCATTTCACTCAGGTAAAATTAAATATAATGAGCTTTAATCTGTTATCTAGGATGGTTACAATTTTTATTTTATAGCAGACTGCAGTTATATCTTTTAGTTAACAAAATTTGGATATTATAAGCTTTCTTTGCTGCGATAAGGCATTGTAATTTTCATGATAAAACTTTGGTTTATCATCAATAATATATTTTGTTTGTGACAGATCTTTTTTCATTTCCCTTTTTCTTAATACTATAATTCTTACTCCATTTGATCATGTGCCTACTTTATGAATTTGTAACAGCTTTTAATTATTGCTATATATGTACCTAAATATTAATTAAATTAACTTATGACACAGTGAAGATCACTTAATTTTGCATTTTAATCATGTTCTTATTTATTTTTAAATATTGGCAACATTTACTTGCATGGAATTAAACTGGTATGTATAATGTTTCAAGGAATGCCTATCATTTTGAATATCTAAGAAAGTTACCACCTAGCAAAGTTTGTCAACCCCACTCATGGAACTCATCATTTTGAGTATCAAGCTAGAGTTCATTCAGCCAGAAGTATAAGATGTCAATGGTCAAACAAAACAATGTTTAAACTTTGCAATTATCAGCATGCTTAAAAATACACAAAATCAAGGGAAAACAACAATTTACTAAGTAATGTATCACATCATAGACTAATATTAAAAGAATAATAAATGATGAAATAAATATCAAGAAACCTACATAATATGACACATTCATCTACTAAAACCTACCTTGAGGTGCAGTGCTCGGATCCAACACTCCTCCAAGATCCACTAAGTCTGCAATAGCTGAGGACCAACCCAACAAGTCTAAAATTAAATACACATTCATAAATGCATTTATCTAAATTTTGATAATCTACTAATTTAAATATAATTTACTTCAATAGATGAAAAACAAAATTAGTAATTTCAAACCATGAAGTCATCATGAACTTCATCACCTAGCACTAATTAGCTTAACATAAATGTTTCTAAAAAATCTTTAATTTTGAGTTTTTTTGGTTAAAAGCCAGCTTGAAATCAAAGCAAAGCTAAATTAACCTACTATATGCTTGATATTAAAAATAAAAAAAATAAACCAATATCACGTAAATCATTAATTAAATTTTATTAATTTTTCGTCAAATAAGCCCCCTTCAATTACATTACATTATGTCATATAGAAAATAAAACAAATTAACAAAAAGGTGAAGAAGATTGATGGAAAGAACTGGGGATTACAAATGAATCGCTGGAGGGGTTTTACAGCAACAACAGTTGCTCCTTTGTACGGCAATGGTAAGAAGTTCTAGCGGCTAAGACGAAGAAGTGGTATTATGGAAAGCAGATTCCTTGGAGATCCCGAAAGATGAGAAAGGAAAGGCTAGGAGCAATAGAAAGAATATGGGATTCCGCATACCAAATGCGAGGTAGAAGACGATATACAAAACCCTAATCTCAACACAACGATGAAGTCGAGGAGGGGCGGTTTCGGCTTTCGGGAGGGGGAGGGTGTAAACAAGTCAAGTCCAGCTAGAGTGTCTTGGTCAATTAATCGAGTTCTAGCTCGTGCTTGTGCTCTCGCTTTATCTAATCAGCCTTCGAAAAATTTACCCCAGAACCTAAACTTGTTAAAAACTCTCCTCATTGACAAAGAAGACGTGAGAGGCTGGAGCGCGAATTTTTGGAGCCCATTGCTAGCATGTCCTCTGCATTATTATAGCAAAAGGTCATTGTTAGATATCTTAATATGTCTTGAACTGTTGAAGGAGATAAAATCAAATCCCTAGATTGGTTACCTCTCCTCATCATCAGTCATGAATGAAAAACATGCATGGTCTCCATTCCCTCTGGGAGAAGGAAGATAAGCTAAGGTGCATTAAATATTGGATTTAAACACAATATCCACTCTCAGTGATAACCAAATACATTAGTTTCATCTTCAAAATTAAAGATCAGAATTTTCTGAGTAGAATGGCAAATCACTTTTTTTATTGGTAGTGTAGATAGTTTAGATGTGGTTATGCAGTGGATGCTCATTTTTTTATGCTTTTAATATGCCTTGGTTATCATTGTTGCATGTTGATTATGGGCATTGTGCATGCTATGACTTTGCCTTTATGCCTTAACAAGTGGGTTTCCTTACAAGCTTTCCCCTTGCTATTACTGTATGTGCATCTCTTTTGATTTGTGGACCATTTGCACTGGAGAAACATTGTCATTTTCTGATCTTATCTGGCACGGGGATTTACTATATCTTCTAGAGGTTTATTCTCTTATTTGTATTAGATATTTATTTGCACCTTCTTTTCTCTTTATCGAAACTTAGTATTTCAATTCTCTTGTCATTGTATTATTATACATGGTGAATTCTGTTATTTTATAGTACAAAGCTGCTTTACTTGATTTTGACTCTCAAATAATGTGTTTGTAGTTGAGGTTAATCCTCTATGACTGTGCAAGGCTTTTTGGATGTGGGCTGAAACAATCAATCGCCTACTTAACTCTGTTGAGAACTCGCAAAACTCAAGGGTGTGAGGTGATAAACTAGAAGCTGATGGGTTTCCTTGAGGATTTTCAAGCCAGTAAGAAACTTACTCTGCATCCTTTCGATCCTGTGCTACTTTGTATTACACTATTGTAGATTTCTCCCTTTTTTCTTGGGATCTAGCACTGGATTCCCTTGCTTGGTCTCTGGCCTAATTTGATTTTTGTTTATGTTTTGCACGTGTTCATGAGATTACAGTCTGCAGTGTGCTAAATATATAATTAAAAAAAACAAATATGAATTCTCTATGGTAGGGAATCCAAGGCGCATTTTCAAACATAAGGTTCAATTTTGGATGAGTTGTCGTGTTGTTTTCCATTAAATATCACAATTAGAGTCAGTTTGAACAGGGTAGTGCTCAATCTCTATGTTGTTAATTATGATTCGATTTCTTTTTCATAAATTGACAGACACATTTTAGTTTAAATAAAAAACATTTCAGATCATGATTAAGTTTTGTTTTTAAAGCTGCTTTGCAAGTGCTATCCAAATGCATGTACCAACGTTTGTGAGGACTTGAATCTCTTGTGTGAACAAATGGTAAATGGTGAGCAGCAACGTGCACGTAATTCAAGCTTTTCATTTGTATGTTATAAGTTTTATGAAGATTGTCTGTTATGATATGTATATTTACAAAGAAGCAATATCTTCCCTGTGCTCGCTTTGATCTTCATACAAAATAGGAGTGGAATTTAGGAACTTGAATCTCTTAGTAATGATTCAAGGGTTTGGTCACTTTAATTTAAGAGACGGGAGGAATATATCTGTGATTTTGCTTCAGGTTTTAAGAAGCTGATTGCCTTTATGCCAATAAAAATAATATGACTTGATCATTTTTTCCCCTTATAACATTGGTGCTAGAGTCAGATCTGTTTGTAAAGATTATCTTTGCAGCGTATCCAGCTTTTGACCTTTTTTAGTTTTTTTTCCCATCTGTACCCGTTCCTTGCTATCTTGGGACCATTTCATGAGAGTTTTCTTATGCTTGAGCTTCAGCAATTAGAAAGAAAAAATACAAAATCTTGTTGGGGAGAGTAGTCTACTCGGTCATCAATCATACAAGCTTTAGCTAGAAATCATAATCTTTGTTTATTTAGATTAATGGTTCAAGATTGTATTAAGAAAGTAGGAGATAGAGATTGTATTAAGAAAGTAGGAGGTACACCTGATTCGGCGGAGGATGAGGCTTCAGGGTGCTTGATTTTATCATAAAGTTAGTCTTAAGAAAGTTCCTTTTGTTTACTTTATTTGCTTCTTGAAGCTTGGAAAGTGATGTAGAAAGCACTTATTAGATCAATTATCCATTTGAGATGGATGCAACTGTTTGTAAAAATAATTGTGTAACTATTTAAAGAAATTTGATTTTGTTGAAAGTTATTGTGGGTATTATACTTTTTTTGTGACCAGTGGTTCTTTGAAAATCAAAATGTTCTTTGCAAGTCATGATATCAAGGATGTAAGACTAGTGGACAAGAAAAGTTCAACCCTAAGAATCAACGAGCACAATCTAGTGAGAAATGTTGCTCGCATTAAGTTCGCTGCTTACCATCTAGTTAAGCCAACTCCACTACACTGGTGCAATGTAGAGCAGGTTGTCCTAGTCCATCAAAAGGAATACCATTAGCTTGATTATAAGGCATCAGGGCAACATTAGAAAGCCTGTTTCATCTCACTTTATGACAAGGTTGACATTATGGATTGGTATGCCATCTCATTACTTTGGCCAGGTAGTCATAATCCCATGCTTCTAACAATTATTAGAAGTATGGTACTTTAGTATATGATAATCGTATATGGCAATCTTAATAGATAGGACTAGATTTGAAGTACTTTATTTGAAATATGTAAATAGATAATATCATTGGGATTTTAGTCATTAGTTATCAACTCAGCCTAGTTGAGCTGAAATTGATATGATGAAAGTATGGTGACACAATGAAGGGTTGCGTTTGAACTGGTTATTCCATAGTCTGGGAATAACGGCTATTGCGGATAAATTTATGGGAAGTACATTTTTGGCGGACACCTATAAATAAGAGCAGCAGATGAACTTATTAGGAGTGATCGTGATTATGTTGAGATGTAGGCAATTGCGAGTTTGTGAAATTAAGTTGGGGTAGTTAGAAATTGTTGGGAGTTTGTATTTAAATGGATGAAGGTTGTTAATTACCTTTAGTTTGTGTTTTGGTTTCAATTTTAATTTGGGAGAGGCTTTTTAGTAAGGGATGTGGATGTGGGTTGCAGTTTAATGATTTTTGAAGAAGAAGATGATGGATTAAGGACTGATATTGAGAATTCTTTGGTGTGGTTGGAGGGGAGGGGGTAGTGTAGTTTTCTGTGGATAAGCTGGTAGGGAGGGATTGGTCGAGCAGATCAAGAAAGAGAATGGGAAGAAGTAACATCTAAAGAATGCCATGCCATAAGATGCCTTAATCAGATTATCATGGAAACTCTCATACTCCATTTATTTGATTTTTTGAATTGATCACAGTATGAAGTTTGTTTAGATATCAATTGTTGCAGCACCAGGAAACCTTTATTGAAAGGTGGGAGGAATCTGCATGGAAAGGAGGTATGCATTTCTGAGCAGCCTGAGGAGTCGGAATGACACTAAAGGAGGAGGCAAAGTAAAAAAAATTGTAGGACGAGAACCGGAAAAGTAACCAATATCAATATTCACTGCAATTCAAAAATCAGAAGTCTCTTGAATCAATCCTAAGAGGCCATTTAAAAAGATTGCTCGCAAGTACAGTGACTTTGAGTCCTCATGAAAATAATTGCCATAGAACTTACTAATAACTACTATTATAAGAAATCCATATTACGCGAGCATGACTAAGAAGATATCAAACCTTGAAAATAATCGACAACCAGTATGTTCAATCACTAGCTGAACCTTGGCACAATTATATGGAGGTGATTACGCAGCTATCCTTTAAATTGCAGTAAATTGGGATATAACAAACAGAGAACTAATTTACCTGATAAAAATTGCGTTAATATCATTTAATATACTAGCCATGGAGTCATATGAGCTGCATTTTGATATATCTTTGTAGATGCATAGTATAATTCTAGCATCAGTTGGATTGTAGATTTTTATCTCTCTATTTTAAGAACCCTGTTATTATGGCTAACACTTCTTCATCAGGTTTGGAATCTTTGCCTGCCATGCTCCAGCGAACCTATGGGCTTATACGAGAGCTTGATACGAGTTTGCTAGGTAAGCTATCTTTACAAACCCTCTTCTAGGTTCATATGAAATTTCCATCTCAACACTCGCCACCCATCCACGCCATTTACTCTCAATTATAGCAATTCACCTTCTGTATTTGCAGCCTAATATATATTTCTTGATTTGGAATTCCTGGCATGTGATGCGTATATTAGTGGATTTTAAACACTTGCATCTTATGAATTCTTGCAGCAAGCCAACGGCAGAGTGAACAACACTGCGAACAAGAAATAGATGAAATTAAGCGTGGAATCGAAGCTGGTAATGTTGCACCTGACATGTCGCTCATCAGATTTTCTGATGAGGCTCTTGAGGAACAAAAGCATTGCATTCGTGTTGCTGATGAAAAAGTGGCTTTGGCCACTCAAGCTTATGATATGGTATGTGATATTGTTTTAACACCTTATAAAAATGTGTTTTATTTTATTGTAAAGGAATTTCTTAGACCCTGTGGATATGTTCTTTTTTGGCACCATTCGACAATCTTCAAAGTTCAAACCTCATGACAATCATTCGTATCTTCTATTTTATGAAGTCTTTGTTGTTTGTCTCTTTCACCACTCCATTAGAGTTTGAAATTTTTTATTTTAAGAAGTATTTGTTGTCTTTGTAAGTTTGTTGAATGCTAAGTGTTGATGGAATAAAGGAATCTTAGACGCCTTCCCTGACAAAAGTGCTTGCCAAAACCTCTTATCCAATATGCTGTTTAAGGCTTTGTTTAGGACGGCTTTCTTTATGCTTCTTGAAGCAGCTTTCTATTACAAAAATTTTTAATTTTGTACTAAAAAGATACTTTAAGAAGCAGAAAGAAAATCATCCCAAACGAAGCTTAAATAAGCTCAATTGTGATCCTCATTATCATGACATTAAAAATGCGGTCATATTTTTTAGATTGTCATCATGGGATCCACCATTATTTATCAGGTAGTTCATTTGCCTTTGCATCCTGCCTCTGCGCCACCATTCTAAATGTTTTTTTGTTCAAGCTATCGAATCACTGTAGATGTCATGGTAAATTCAAGATCATATCTGGAATTCATCTAGTTATATGACTCATCTGAAATATTTGTAGGTTGATACCCACATCCAACAGCTTGATCAGTATATGAGAAAAATGGAAGAACTTCGTCTAGGTGCACTGAATGAAGTTTAAAGATTCCTTCTTCCCCCGGTGAAATTAACTTTTCCATTTCTATGTTGCTGATTCTATATTTTTTCTTACTGTCTGTGCAACAGAAAGGGAACTTTCTGCCACTGCATCTCCTGGAGGTACTCCCGACGTTACCACAAAATCTGGTAGAACTGGAGCAAGTGGCAGGGGTGGTCGAAAGAAGTATGTCAGCTCATCCCATACAATTCTTCTTGCCACTAGAATTATGTTCCTATTCTGTAAGAGTAGGGCTGTCAAAATCGGGTCACAGGTCGGGTTCGGATCCAACCCGAAACTGACCCGATATTGTTCAACCGGACCCAAATCCGTCCTATTTTTGCAAACGGGTCAGTTTTTCGATCCCGATCACGACCCGCTTCGGGTCCGGGTTAATCCGAAACTGACCCGCTTCGGATATGTTTTACTAAAATTTTTTTTATTTACTTCGATTTATTTAAACATAAATTAAATTAAGGTGAGATTTACTTTAATCAATTTAAAATAAATCAAGCTTAATTTAATTTGGGCAACATTGTTTGCAATTTTTTAGAAATATCATTTACTTATTTCATAACAATCTTTTAAAACCCTCCTAAATTAATTAAAAACGGGTCAAACCTAGTTGATTTCGGGTTTCCGGGTCAACCTAACCTGACCCGATTTTACAAACGGTTTGAAATCCTTAACCCAAACTTGACCCGGTTCGGGTTCAGGTTGACCCGAACATGAAATTTTTGGGTCGGGTTCGAGTCGGATTTTTGGGTCAGGTCAAATATTGACACCCCTATGTAAGAGTTATCATGTTGCCTAGTTTTTGTGGTCTTTGTGGATTACAGGGCTCGACAAGCTGCAGTTGAACTACTAAACATAGATTTGGAATTACCAGTTGACCCAAATGAACCCACTTACTGCTTCTGCAAACAAGTCAGCTTTGGGGAGATGGTTGCTTGTGATAACCCTGATGTACATATTTCTCTTATAATTCCTCCATTTTTCTTCTTTGATCCTTCTCCCCCTTCTAATTACATGCTTTGAACATCTCAGTGCAAGATCGAATGGTTCCACTATGGATGTGTTGGTTTGAAAGAACAACCTAAAGGTAAATGGTTCTGCCCTAATTGCGTTGGACTACCAAAGCGCAAGAAAGGTAAGTGAGAAATGGCAGTGTGGAAAAGCCCTTAAAGGAGCTATATAGCTCGTATTCTGCTGCCTTGGGATCAAATGCTTTGAATCCTCTTGTAATAAGATTGCTCTGTGCATAATCATACTGTAAACTAAGATTTCCTTACATTTCCGTATACTGGAGTTGGTTCTAACATTTTGCTCAAGTACTTGAGGCAGTTACCATTGTACATTAAAGAAATAAATGATCCCATCTACCTGCTGTTGAAAAATAGTTAAAGGCCTAGTTTGATTGGACGTTTTTTGTGCTTTTTTCATTTTTAAAACAGTAGATTTATTTCTTCAGTACTATTTGGTTTCTCAAATCACGTTTATAATAACATTTTTTTTTTTCATTTTTCTGTTGTTTTGATAAAGCTTTTTATATATGATTCTCTGTTAGAAAACTCTTTTTTCTGAACCGATGTTTCTTGAAACTGCCTTTTACAAAAGTATCGGATAACCAAACGTAGCCTAAATCTTGTTTGCTTTTCAATAATTGAGTCGTTTGATAATATACATTATACACTCCTCTCACCTCACAATGGTTTGTTGGTCGAAAATTTTGATTATCAATTAATAGTTTTTGAGTTCGAGTTTTGTTTATGTGATATATATTTGTTTGCTTTTATTATGTTTATAGGCATCTTATGTTGGTCACGTGCATGGGTCTGCCCTCTATATTTTTACATTGGTTATCGAGAGTGGCAGAATCTTATGAATAATCATTTCATTTGACTCTCGTAATGGACTTTCTTGATGTGGTAGAGTAGAGTTGCAGGTTAATGGAAGCAATCCTTCCCTTTGAAAGGTGGTGGAGGTAATGTCAATCCACATGAACTCTAGCAGGGGGTGTTTTGGGGAAAATTATTCTGTGATTCCGGACAGTATCTGGAGACCAATTAAAATGTGCCACATTATTTTTTGTTCGGTATCGGTGTTTGGTACCACTGTGTATCAGGTGATGTGGCACATTCTGATTGGTCTTCAGATCGTCCGGTGCCTGCACATAATAATTTCTCGTGTTGTGGGCCCCTTAAGTTGAAAGCATGTAACTGCTCCCACCTTGTTGGGTCGCTTGAATTCTGATGATTTCTTAGATTTTGACTATATCTAAAGAATGCTGTAGTGGTGATCTCGATCAATCATGTCCGAGGGCTATTGGTGTTGCTTTGATTGGAGATCTCTCTACATCAGTTCGCAGTAGAACAACTTGTTCGGCTATATGAAACTTGAGGCTTGCTCCCACATCCCCTTCAGGTTAGTTGGGCTCTTTTTGCTTATGAGTGCTTAAAAATAGATATGTGGAGACCAAGAGTAAAGGTCATCTTGGCTAACTCCTGCTTTTAGTTGGTGACCTCTTAGGACTCTAAGATAAATTGGTATATATAATCTTAAGAGGGTTTGCCTTTCACCTGCCTAATGTGTCATAGGATTTGAGTGGGCTTTAGGCTTCATTGGAGACGGCTTTTTTATTGCTGCTTAAAGTAATTTTTTAGTATAAAAATTTTAAATTAATAAATTGTTTTAAGAAACAATAAGAAAGCCGTCACAAATCTTCATCTTTGGATGTGGGACTTCCAACATGATCCCTATAAAAAATGGAGTGCAAGTCTCGTACTCATAGAGACTAGTATTCTATTTTTTTTACGAGTGGATGATTAGTATCTGTGATGAGAAACAAGATGTTACACTTATAAAATAATAATGTTATTTAAAACCATCTTTGAAGAGTGACCTTTTAATTTAAAGAGACTAGTATTCTATTTTTTTTTTAATTTCCTTTATTCAATTATTATTATTATTATTATTATTATTGCGGGCTAGAATATACACGGCGATAGAGTTTTAATCGTTCGTCTTAGCGTTATGTGGATATCCAGCTCACACACAGAAAACACAAGATTTTTTACATGGAAAATCCTTAAAGGGGGGAAAACCGCGGGGCCTAGCTCAGTTGAAAAGATTTAACTAGAACTTGAGTTAGTTACAATGAGTTGACTCGTCTCTGAAGATGATCATATTACAAGTAGCAATTATACAATAGAAGTCCGAGTGTCGAGTAATGATCTGGCAGGACTTCGGGCCTTAGATGATGATTAGGCAGAACTTCGAGCCTTAGATAATGGTCTGGTAAAGATGAGAGTCTTCGATAATGGCCTGACAAAGATGAGAGCTTCAGGTGAAGGTCTGGTGGAACGTAGGGTGTCCGGCGAATGTGAGGGTCTCATGTGGTGGTCTGACGAAGCACAGGATGTCAGGTGATGGTCCGGTAGAGTGATGGTGCTAGGCAGTGATCCGGTGGAGTATAGGACTTCAGATGGTGGCCCGGTGGAGCACAGAGCGTCAACTGGTGGTCCGACGGAATAACGGCGTTAGACGGTGGTCCGGTGGAGCACAGGGCGTCAGATGGTGGTCCGGCGGAGTGATGGCATTAGACGGTGGTCTGATGGAGCACAGGGCATCAGGTGGTGGTCCGGCGGAGCACAGGGCGTCAGGTGGTGGTCTGGCGGAACTCCGGCAGTGGTCCGGCGAAACTCCAGCGGTAGTAGAGGAGGTTATGAAGCAAGAGCGATCTCCGATCACTCTCTTTTTTCCTTAGGCTCAGGGGTCCTCTCTCAAGAGGAGAGGGAGCTCTATTTATAGATTTTGGGATGGCATGACCCGTAAATAGGTGGAGGATCAAGGGTAAGTTGGGAGTGGTTGGATAGACGGCCGATCTTGAATCCCTTGATCATGAACCGTTTGATGAACATTTGAATGTCTTAGTGATGTCGGAATTCAGCGATCTTGGGCTCGTTGGATTCGTCTCGTTGAGCCGCTCGATTCGAGTATAAGCTTGTTATGTTTGGAAACCGTTTGATAATCCAAATTGTGGTTTGAACCTTCCAACAGCGCATCGGGTCCTTGATTTGGACCCATTTGGGCTCGGATTGAGTCGAATTTAGTGTCGTTGGGTTCGTATTTCTGAGACGCTCAGTTTGACTGTAAGTTTGCTGAAATCGGAGTTCGGATGGCATCCGAATTAATTTTTGAAGTTTCCAATTTGATTTTGCATCGAGATTCGCGCCCGATTAAGATAATTTTTTGACGA